CCCTTCCTGCCATCGTGTCTGTCTGCTCGTGGACCTGGGTTGGCACGTAGAGTTGGGGGGACAAGAGTCGATAGGTCGGACCGCTAAGAGGGGTGGGCGGGGAGGCGGTGTGAACAGCAGGCAGGTCGCACCATCTCTGCCTCGTTGGCCCTCATCCGAGTCAATGGGGATGTCGCTGAGATGGGCCGGGCAGGACGGGGGACTCAGGCCGTGTCCCTTGACTCTCAGGAGCTTCAGAAAGGGCTGCGATGAGCCCCAGAACGTGGGGACAAAGGTGGGACTCAGAGGACGTCCCGAGATGGTGGGGACGACCAGCGCCCAGGCCACTGCAGAGTGGCCTCCGCTGCCCCAACACCTCAGGCGCCCCAGGCGGCAGACGTCCGCCCTGCCAGCCCTGCCCCGGCGTGGAGCTAAGGCGATATGACGAGCCCACAGGCCCCGCTTTCTGTCCTCCTCCCTGTCCCTCACCAGTGCAGGTGGCCCGAGGCTGGCAGAGGGGCACGTCCCCAGTGTGCGCACGTTTCCCTACGTCCCTGTGGCCACAGCGTGGGGGACACGCTGTGGGTGTGGAGCCAGAAGACCCAGGTGTGCCGAGGTCCGAGTCACCTGTTCCCTTAGCAGAGCCGCCCACCGCCCACTGCCCACCTCTGTGCTCAGTCCCTCGGCTGCCAGTGGGAGGGAGCGGGGTGCCGGCTGTGCCTCCGAGCACATGGCCCGCGGGGGAAGGCGGGGCGCGCGTCACCATCATCATCCTCAGTGCTCCAGCTCTGCATTTGGCGCCCTGCCTGAGGGTGGCCCCGGCCGCAGACCTGCTGACGGAGCCGGAGGTCCGCGTTGCATGTCCGGCCTGCATGTCCAGGAGCCCAGACCCTGGGCCTTCCTGCCGTCCCAAGGGGTCCTGGCTGGAGTGTGGACAGCCCGGCGGCCGTCCTGGACCCCAGCACTCGGGTTCTTGTTGCCGGCCTGAGACCACCTGGCCCCACGGTGTGGATCCCGGGCCGGCAACGTCAGACCGGCGCCCCCTGCCCTGCTCAGTGCTGTGGCTGGCGGGGGCTCGAGCCCCTTTCTCACCCACATTTGGGGGTGCTGCTGGGGCTCGGGCTCAGGCTCAGTTCCTGGCCCGCCGTCCTAGAGTGAAGGTGGGGGCCCCCCACCCCCCGTCTGGCGTCTCTTTCCCGTCCTCTCCTCCACTTGGTCGCAGCAGGGGCTGCGCTCAGCTGCGCCCTCCCCGTGGTGCAGGGCGGAGCTCGCCCCGGAGGTGTCCTGCAGGCCCCAGGGGCACGTGGAGCGTGTCTGTGGCCATCTTCCAGGAGCTCATCTGGGCTGAGGTGGGACCGGCAACCCCCGGGCTGTACCCCCGGGACCCCTCCCCCTGTTCTCAGAGAAGCCAAAGATTGGGTCCAGCCTGCCCAGCCAGGGGACTCAGGGACCTGTGGGGGTGTTGATGAAGCCAGCACCGTGGTTGGGGCCAGGTTTATTTGGGAAGAACTGTGGCCTGTGCTAGGGGCTGGGGGCAGGAGGCTGCCGGCAGATCCCTGTCCTGGGGGAGCTGGCCCCCAGTGTGCGGAAGACGGGGACCAGTGGCTGGCCCCTGGGGAAGGCACAGCTGGGGCATCGCAGGTGCTGGGTGCTTCTCGGAAACCGAATCCCAGCTTCTATTCAGGGAGCTCGGCAGGGTTGGGGGGAAGGGCTGTGGGGGGGCTCGTAGGCGGCAGCAGTGTGGGTGCTGGCACGCCCTCTCACGACGCCAGGCTCGTCGTGTTACCGAGGAGCCGAGGGATGCGGGCGAGGGGACCTGGCCGTGGGCCTGAGGTCTGACCGGCCGCCCGGCCTGGAGCTGCCCGCTCCGTCGCGGGAGGCGGTGTGTGTGTGGCTGCTCCCCCTAGGGCCGCCGCCGTCGGCCTGAGCGCTCCCCGCACCCCAGGGCCCCTCATGTCACCCTGTCCTACCCCGCCTGTCCTCGTCCCTGCAGCTGTGTGGTCTCCGAAGTGTTCCGTGAGCCGGACCGGAAGGCGTCGAGCTTTCCTGCTCGGCATCATCTGTGGTGCCCACGGGCTCCCTGTTCGTCGCTGGGTCATGACCGTGGTACAGACGGGCCCCAGCTTGCGACTGTCCACCCTGAGGACACTGGACTGATGCTACTCTTTGGCCGTTACGAATGAAGCTGCCGGGATCGCCGTGTGCGGGTGGACATGGGCGTCCGTGGGGCTCATGGGCCAGGGCAGCCGCCACCTGCATTGTGCTGTAGACCCGTCCGTGTGGACAGAACGGGCCCGGAGGAGGGGACCTGCTCTCCTTGGCGGGGGCAGCTGTTGCGGATTTCTGAGCCAGAAGGGCGTGCGTGGCATCTCCTAGGGGAGTGTGGCCGAGGGCTGGGCAGGATGAGTTGGAGGCGGGAGGCTGAGGGCCACGAGGAGGCCAGGGGGGTGGAGCCGGCCAGGACCCCGGGGCATTGGCCACCGCGGTGGGGCTAGGCGGGTGGCCATGCGGTCCGGGCAGGCCCTTGCACCCAGAGACCTCTCTGGGCAGGTGGACGTTGGATTGGGCACGTGGGGCATCCTGGTGCCAGAGACCGATGGAGGCGCCATGTGCTGACAAGATGTGGCAGCGGCCGAGTTGGCCAGGAGACAGGGCGGCTCAAAACGGAGGCTGCAGCCAGCGCTTCTGAGGCAGCAGACCGGGTGGCTTTGTCCCTCCCTCCTGGGCGTCGTGGCGGCTGAGCACCTCTCAGGCCAACTGGGCCTGGCCCGTTCCAGGGCAGAGGGCGCTGCAGGCTCCCGCCACCCGTGCTGAGGCTTCTGGCTCCGAGGCTCACGCTCAGAGCTGACGCCGGCAGCACCTCCTCACTCAGCCCCTGTTGGCCCAGAATACAGGTGACACGCGACACCTGGGCCCTTCTCCGTGGGCCTCCTGTCTGCAGCTGTCACCTCCACACCCTCCTTACTCCGTCCTTCCTCGCAGTGACGGGGACATCTGTGCTGTCGCACCGCGGGTGCCCCTGGTGTCGAGTGGGCAGGGGCCAGGGATGCTGCTCAGGACCCCGCAGTGCCCAGGACGCTGCACAGAGTGGCAGGGTCTCAGTGTCAGCGGCGCTGGGGGACACGGTCAGGATGTACGCGTGCTGGCGACCACAGCCCGGCACAGCGCCCGCGGTGTGCGGTGAGGGGCCAGCGTGGACCCCTCTGAGGAGAGGTGGGGTCGTGTGCACACACCCCCACTGCCTCCTGCCCCTAGACTCGGGGGTTTGGGGCAAGTGGCAGAGAGATTGTCTAGGTGGGACAGTGTGGGATGGTGTGGGGTAAATTACCACTGATAACAGAACCCAAGTCACATTTATTCGTTCCAGAAGGGTCCAAGGTGGTCGATAAAAGTATCAGAAAGAGGAGGCTGCAGCCAGGCCCCAGCTGTGACCCAGGCCTCCCCGAGTGAGCTCAGGTGCTGCTGTGGTCAGTCACTCCAGGGGTCCCCAGCCCCCAGGCCACACAGCAGGAGGTGAGCCGGAGAGGAGCGAGAGGGCGTGTGGGGGTCTGAGGCAGCGCATTCTTAGGATTTAGGGTTCCTTTTGCTGCGTAATAACATCGCTCCAGACCTCAGTAGCTGGAGAGCATGGCGCTCATGGTGTCTGCAGGTTCTGAGGGCCGGGCTCCTCCGCGGGGCCCACCACAGTGTTGCCGGGGTGTCCTCACAGCGTGGCAGCCCGCCCCCCCTCCCGGGCCCCAGACAGCGAGGAGGAGCCCCGTGGCTTCACGACCTAGTCTTGGAAGGGACACACCACCATTTGTCATGTTGTTGGAAGCTTGTCACTGAGTCCTGTCTGCCGTCTGGGGAGGGGCGACACTGGGCATCACTCTTGGAGGGAGGCGTGGCAGGGATTTGTGGACACATGAAACCGCTGCAGTTGCTGTTCTCATGCGTGTGGGGGGCAGTGCACAAAAGTGGGGTGACCAGGGCGGTGGGGGGCTGAAGCAGGAGAGGGACCCGGGGCCACGCTGGTGCTGGATGAGGCCGGGGTTGGGGTGGGGTGGGGGCTGCGTGACCCCTTTCAGATGGTTTTCCAGACTTTCTGATCTCTCCGATCCTGTGAGGTGGCAGAGGTTCAGTGTGGGGTCTCTGGGGGGTCGGCACGCTCACCCCGGGAGAGCCCGGTGAGGCGGCTGCATCCCCTCGTGCTTATGGAGGAAGAAATGAGGCATGAAGGGGTTCCGTGACATGTGCCTGTCGGCACGGTGGGCAGAGGGGCGAACCCAGGCCTCTGGGCGGACATGGGACACGGCGCCATGGTCACACGGGGCGGAGCTGGAGAGTGCTCTGCGGTGCTCTGATGCTGGGTTGAGTTATAAATTCGGGGCTAATGAGAAGGGAGCTTCTGGAGCCCTTGGGGTGACGATCAGGTTCCCCAGGACTTGATTTGGCCTTTCTGTGTGGCCCTGGGTGCAGACAGCAGACTCTTGCCCCCAAGGAGACTTCGCTCGGGGGCTCTGGGGGAGGTGTGGGGGGAT